TTCTTAAAGTTTGGGGTTTTAAAAGATTTTTAAAAGTTTTGAGGTTTTTCAAATAAAATTATATTTTTAAGTTTTTAATTTTAAAAAATTTAAAATTATTAGAGCGAGACATGTAACATCCCAAACATCAGGTTAGTGACCAAATTATAAAATTTTAGAACTTAGTAACTAAAGTAGATAAATTAAAAAGTTCAGGGACTTATATGAAAAATTTTGTGTAGGATTGAATAGTAAAGAATGGTGATTGAAAGGGAAAAATGGTTATTTGATCAATAAATGAATTAAAAATGTATTATGGTGAGGATTTATACACGTGAAATTGAAAGAAAAGGTGAAAATAAAGTTTTCTCCAGAAATATCTTCACTCTTCTTCCTCTTTCAGCCGTGAACTACCAAAAGAAAAGGTAAGTTTCTTGTTAGTTGATTGTTCATTGAATTTAAGCTCGGTTTATGTTCCTTAGATAATACTTAAGCTTAAGGAAAGCTTAAATTGTCCTAAAATTAAAAGATGAAGGAGTTAGAAAGGATTAAAGATAAGAAAGGGATAAGTGAAATCTTGGAAGAGAGTTAGTAAGTAAAGTTTGAAACTAAATTTGACTTGTCATCAGTTAAATTAAGGAGTATGAAGTGTTAGAATTGAAATTAGAGCATGTTGGAAAATTGGTAAGATTCTTGGTTTCAAGATTTAGGATGAATTATTGAAGATGAGGATATGTTATATGAATATAATATAGGTTGAGTTAAGTTTAGTAATATGAAAGGAATTCAAAATAGAAGGTATAAGTAAGTATGAGTAAATTTTCGAGCTAAAAAGATAAATTTTGGGCATGGGGTATCGGTACTATTCATCCAGTATCGATACTTCAAAGAGAAAATGGTCAAAATTTGAGAGAGGGTATCGATACTATATGAATAAGTATTGACGCCATAAGCCAAAATTGGACAAGTTATTCAAGGGGTAGTGATACTTAAAGGGTAGTATCGATACCAAGAGTACCCATACCATAAGTCAAGTATCGATACCATTTTGAAATAAGGATTCCAGAACCGAGATAGGGCATCGATACCCAGGCTTGGTATCGATACCACAGCTAGGGAAGTATCGGTACCATACATGTGGGTACCGATATTACTCACAGAGGAAATTATATTAAGCATTTCTTTTATCTTGGACTATTAAGGATCGAATTATAATACTTAGAATTCTGATATGCATATCAAATTTATGATTGTGTAGATATCGAGCATAAGCAAGTTCCGGAACGATCGAAGAGTTAGAAACGATCAAGAAAGAGATTAAGTCATAGAAGTTGATTTGGATCAAGTGAGGCTAAGGTGAATGCATGTTATAGTATAGATGTAGTTTTATGGAAATAAGACTTGTGATAAGTTTATTTCCTATGTTTAAATCTCATGGTTTAATAGTCATGAACATGCATATATTATTATCATTATAAGCACATACATAAGTGTTATATGTTTATATGTGTTGATACATGTTATATGATCCAGGTGAACATAATCAAATGACATAAGCTATATGATACGAGATTGATGATTATATGTACATGTGATATGATATATGGTATGATATAAGATATATGTGATTATAAGAGAAATGACATGAGTACATGAATATGTAATGAATTAGTGATTATATGACGATATGAAACCTATAAATATTCAAGCCCATGTTATATAATATGATAGTTGTAGGTATAGTTGGCATACCAAGAGTCGAGGGTTATATGAGGTCATTCGGGACATATATCAGGTCCTTCGGGACATATACATGAGGTCCTTCGGGACATATACATGAGGTCCTTCAAGATAAATTTTATATGTCACTCAGTGGGAAATTATATGAGCTGTGGTGACATCATATGTGCACAACCTCACAGCACTCGCATACTTTAAGTTCTCAGTAATATACATGGGCGCATAAAAGATATAAAAAAAAGTTTAATTTCTTATAAGATATCATGTTCTTCTTTGTTAATAATGAATCATATGTGATATGATTGAATAGGGATATGATAGTTGTGAATATATATGAAATAGTTAGGTTGCATGTTCATAATATAGGAAATGCATTATTATATTATTATGCCTCACTAAGTTTGTGACTTAGCGTATGAGTGTTTCACACGTAGGTACTGAGAAGCAAGGAGATCAGAAGTAGGATTTGCAGAGACAACATATATCTACCAACAGATCAGATCAGAAGTAATTTACACAGTATGTATTTTATTGTAATAAGTTTATTGGCATGTAAACAAAGTTGTGAATTGCGTAGGCTCTGATCGATCTTGTAATGTTTTGAACATACTTATGTAAATTTGTTAATTTTATTTTAATGAAGGTTTAAATTTTCCATGATTTTTGTAAGTGTAAAAGTTTTGAAAAGTCAATGTGACACCTCATATTCGTATCCGGGTCGATTACGGGTTGGGGGTGTTACAAGACACATGTTACTTAACGGAGAATATTAACATCGTTTACAGTCTAGACACCTAGGGTGCGTTTGGTTCACAGAATGTAAGATTACCGGTATGAATAAAAGATTACCAGGGAATAGGATTACTGGGAATGTTGTATTTTGTGTTTGACTGGTTTAGCAAGAATGTAAGATTATTGTGTTTGATTAAAGGAATAAAAGATTATTGGAATTAATATTTGACCAAATTGTCCTTATTATATATTTGTATAATATTACAAGTTGAAAAATATTTATATATTTTCTTTAAAAAATTTAAATTCATAAAATTTATATAATTTTTTTACAAAATTATAAATATAAAAATGTTTAATGAAAGGGTAAAATTTTATTTTAACACATGAACTTCATATAAAATTTTAATTATAGATTTTTTTTGTAAATCTAAAATAGTTTAAGGATAAATTTGTAATTTAACATTCGTAGAATTTTTATTATTCAATGACAGAAGAAATATATTTTTGAGAAAAAAAAATTAAAGGCATTTTAGTCCAAAACGCCGGTAATGTTACAACACCTAAGGGAAGGGATGTAATGACATTCCTGGTAATATACCCAAAAAATTCCACTATTGGTAATAAAACATTACCGGGAATGACATTCCCGGCCAAACCAAATGGGGGAATGTGGATTCCATTCCCGGGGGAATCCTACATTCCCCCTTCCAAACGGCCCCCTAAAGTGATAATATTTGTAACGTTAGGCACCTGCATAATTTAAAAAAAAGTTTGGGAACATATTTATGAAAAGCGATATAGTTTGGACAATTGTTTTATAGTTAAACCTTTCCAAAAAATACAATAAAATTTTGATGAGATTCTAAATTAACGTGGCAATCAAATTATATTATAAAATAAATTATTTATTTCTGGTATAACTATTCATATTCGATCTATTAATCGACTAATCCAGTTGATTATTGTAGAGGTGAGGGTAACTCTTCTAACCCAAATTTTCTCAATTCGTAAACGTCAAGATTTGATTATTTGATCTTACTTAAAAGATTGTGTGCCTCATTCTACTAGACTAACTAATTGTTGATATAATTATAAATTAATTTAGGGTAAACTACATAAACAGTCATCAAACTTTTAGTTTGCTTGTATTTTGGTCACCCCACTTTTAAAACTTGCAATACAATCACTAAACTTTTATTTTATTTTCAATAAGGTCCATGGCATTACTTCCCGTTAGTTTTATATGAAGTGACACGTTACATCCCGTTAACCCTTCTTCTTTTGGTCTCACCTTCACTATGCGATTTGCAAGCTCTTGCAGAGTGTCTTAGGCCAATCTAGTAGGCAATCTTGTTGGGTTTTGGAGAGAACCATTGCGACTTGGTCTCATAGAAATTGTGCTTGCTTTCATCATCCCTTTGTTGTCGATTTTTTTGCCTTGGTTTGTAAAATTGCAACGATACCTGTAGCTATGAAGTTACTGTTGGAAAGTTGATACGTACTAGTTGTCACCTTTTCCATTTTCATATTCTGCTTACAGATTATGGCGCCACTTAAATTCAAGAGAATGTACCATGTTATAATGTGTATCTTATTGGGCTTAGCATCATCGGTGGAATGACATTGTTCCCTTTTATAATTGAGGTAAATTTCATCTTTCGAAAATGGCTTATAATTTGACTTTCATGTATGCATATATTATTGAAACTTTGAAATGGGTTCCTTCTTATGATAGGGAGCGATTATGAGATCGTTGATCACGACAGTCGTAGTTGTTTTGAAAGATTTGTATGTCAAATTTGTTCACAAAGAACCCCAAAAAAAGGACTAGAAGAAAAAGTAGAGAACAGTATATCTACTTCAATAGGTTTGCTTCCACCGAAGAAAGGTTATGTACATTAGCACGGCTGGTTTCCAACAATTCCACATTACAATTCTCTGCAATCCATTATAATAATTATTAGTTACACTGACACTAGAGAATTGGTAATTTTTACTCGAGAAACAAATGACAATTGTTATGTCTTTTCTCTTCATCCTGGTGTTTGGCAATTTGTTTAAAAATATGCAAAACAATTAGCAAATGCAGACCTACTCTGGTGAAGAAGAGTTATGTTGTGGCTATGTTCCCACGAATCATCTTTACATTGGTGATATATTCTTTATCAATATCAAGAATGTCACAGCAAACTGAGTGGATATCTTGAAGGTAAGGTCGCTCGAAGAAGAAGAAGAAGAAGAAGGTTTAACAGGAGATAACATGCCACGTCATATAAAACTAACGAGAGGTAATGTCAAGGACCTTATTCAAAATGAACTAAATGTTTAATGACTGTATTGCAAGTTATAAAAGTTGAATGACCAAAATGCAACCTCCGTAAAAGATAAGTGATCATTTATGTAGTTTACCCATAATTTATTATACACCTTATTCAAGTAATTTTTTTATCTACCATAAAATTCAAGCATTTTTGCCGGCTTATTTTAAATATGCGAGGGAAGTTTAAGCTGTCTCTTTTTTAATATATAAGCCAAAACAAAAGAGATTGAAGAAGAAATGGGCACTTTCCATCTCTGCTCTCATTATCTTCATCCTACCACTTCTCCAAATTTCAAAACCCTAACCCCAATACATGGAAACCCTAAATTCCCCTCCCCCCCCAAAGCACGCTGCTCCTAATCCATCCCTCTCTTTCTGCTCTAAAAACAACCCTCCCCCTCCTGCTGATAACATTCCCAGGTTCATTCCTTAACTCTCATTTTTTGGTTGAATTATCCATCTTCTTGAAGTCTCTGTTGTATTTCATGATTTTGTAAATGGATTTTTGATTTTATCATATAAAGTGTTTATCCTTTTGTGTTTTTAGTATCGGTTGCTTTCATTGTGGAATTTTTAAAAGGAATATTTTTTTTCTTTTTTGGGTTTTCAGTAACTTTTGCATCATTGAAGGACCGGAGACTGTTCAATACTTTGTGAAGATGCAGCTGCAGGAAATTGAAGATAATATTAGGAGTAGGCGCAATAAGATCTTCCTCCTTATAGAAGAGGTAAATAAATGAAGTTTTTTAAGGTTTATAATGAAGTTCTTTGATTAATGCCACGCAATAATTTTTTTAAAACTTAGATGAAAAAGTTTGAATACTTTAGGTACCTATGTTGACATAAAATACTTTAGGTATCTATTTTGATATAAAATACTTTAGGCATCTATTTTGACATAAAATACTTTAGGCATCTATTTTCACCAAAAATACTTTAGGTATTAAAATGAAAAAAAAATACTTTTAGGTACTTATTTATCATATAAGCCTTTTTTTTAATACATAGATTTATCACAGTAATCAGGAGCTTCTAATCCCAAATTATTTGCATGAAACCATTTTGTTCAAGCTGTCAAGGAATTTTATCTTCAATCCATGAAGCACGGGCTAAAATGGAAAATGAGAATATTATGCTTTTGTGGATTGGGTTAATGTGTTTGTTGTTGTTTCTCATTTGATTTGTCCTTGTAAAGTCTTTTTTTCTTCTCCCCACATAGGTAAGGAGATTACGAATACAACAGCGGATAAAGAATGTGAAAGTGATCAATGAGAACGGCGACGAGGAAACAGACGAGATGCCTGACAATCCATCTTCAATTCCTTTTTTCTCTCATGTGGTTAGTTGTAAGTTTCATATGTATTGTATGTTTGCATTTCACGCTTAATTAGTTGAAGCACACGGGAAATGCTCGAAAAGCAGGTCTATGTTGGAAAATGAATGAAAACGCCCTTTTGGGATATTTGCTTAATGATTTATTTTGATTTTGTCATTGTTTTGTTACCTTGTTAACCTTTCTGTTGAAGAAGACACCGAAGACAATGAAGCAACTGTATTTCACAAGCCTGGCGTTTATATCTCGAATAATTGTATTCGGAGACCTTATTGCGCCAACGGTAAGTAGTAAGAACATCTGAAGTTATTTTAGTTTAACTCCATGTTGTAGTATTTATGCTTATATTTGATTTTAAGCTGTCATTTCTTTCCTTTGACCGGCATCTACCACAAGTAGTGTTTATAGACTCATTTCTAGTCATTATGATCTAACTATGAGAATTTATTTGCTTAAATGTGAAAAAAATAGAGTATTTGGAACAGGTCTGTTAATTCTGTGCTCATTAGTCGGTTAGGTATAGCTCTTACTCGAGCCAAAATTCCAAGCACATGTCTTCTTGTATCGCAGTTGATATAACTATATTTATTTCTACTTACCGGTTGTTTTTGTTATCGTAATCTACTTTTCCGTGGCAGCTGGAGCTAAAATTAGGTCTAGGAGGCACCTCGTATGAAGATTTCATACGCAGCATGCATCTGCTGTTGCAGTTAAGGTATTAATTGACCTTATCTTCATTAACAAAATTGTGAACCTGGAGCAACTAGTGCTCGGGTGCAAATGACTCTAATTGAACAATTAAAGTTACTGTTTCAACTTGTTTGTTTGTTGGTTCAGTCAGGTTGACCCTATCGTGGCATCGTTTTCAGGAGGGGCGGTGGGTGTCATTTCAGCCTTGATGCTAATCGAAGCCAACAATGTTGAACAGTAGGAGAAGAAAAGGTGTAAATATTGCCACGGAAACGGTATGTTTTAGTTTGTTGTATGGACGTGGACTTTTCCCTGATTTCCTTCCGACGATGTGAAGTTATACTATCATATGAACTTGCATTAGTTTTTATCATCTTTTGTTTTTCAGGGTTGTCCTACGGGCAGGATATTTGGCCTGTGCGAGATGTACTGCAGGTGGTGTAAGCTTGAGCATCGATCCTATCTCGCTATCCAGTGCGTCTGAACGGACTTTAAAAGTGCCTACTACCGAAAGGTGTCTGAACTACTCTGGTTCGGGAAAGGTAAACAGAATATATGCACAAATATGTGATTGACAAAGTACAATTACGAGTTTTGAGAATCCAGAGGCTAATATCTTCTTACTTTAGGTGATGTGCCCAACTTGTCTGTGCACTGGGATGCTGATGGCTAGCGAACATGACCCACGAATCGATCCATTCGACTAAGAAGACCGAAGACTCTTTCGATCACTCCTTGTTCCCGGGGTAAAAGAATATAACTGACAGACGGGAAACGAGGGAGGAATGTTACATATGATTGCAAGTGTCATAACTTATTATGGTTTACGGATTCTGCTTCTTTCTCCTATTCCTACAGATACAAGAAATGATATGTACCTTTTTAGCAGCAATGAAATCAGGTTAAGTTTTGGTGTAAGGCATGGTTTAAGGCAAATGTCGAGATTCAAACCCACACAATATAGAACAATATAGGCATCTTTGATCACTCGGTCAATTAATAGACCTCGATTTAAGGGTGATTTTGTAGTCAAATGAATCTACTCCAATCGTATATGTGCGTTTTGTAAAGAATTTAAAAAGTAAAATTATATTTATTAAACAAATATATAGGTTAAGTATACATGGAAGACAGTTTGGCCGAGTGGTCTAAGGCGCCAGATTTAGGCTCTGGTCCGAAAGGGCGTGGGTTCAAATCCCACAGCTGTCAATTGCTTTTGTATTTTTTTTCATAGATAAAAGTTCAGCACAGGTCCCTTTACTATAGCAGGAATTAGTTTTTGATCCTTAAACTTTTTGGGTTTGTATTTGAAATCCCACAGCTGTTAATTTTAATGGTTTTTTCTCATGGGTAAAAGTACCGCACTGGTTGCTTTACTATAGCAAAAATTGTATTCTGATCTTTATTCTTTCAAAATGAACATAATGATAATCTTTATAATAGTGATCAAAATAAGACGAATAAATAAAAAGGATTAGAACATAACATTTTCGATCTCTTTGAAACATTATAACTAGGACGGGGACCATGAAAACATGGGTCCAACGATGCCGCTAATCGTCCACTCGACACAAGACTGGAACGAGTACTGGCAAAATCACGATACAGAGTTCGCAACCATGGCCTCTACAACCAGTAACTTGATCAAACACGTGCATTGCAGAGAGAGTTGTGCATGTTACACTAACATTTCAATAGTGCCTCAAACTGCATTGTATATGAACAGGTCATGCAGGTGATTCAATACGCGACATAAGAATTTATGTTAAGAATATCAGCTTTGGGTACTTGATTCTGTCCCAGGAGAAGTGAAATCGGAAAACAGTGACGGTGAAGTACAAAAGGTTTTACAGACCTTGCAAAGTTTACCTTCAACAGTTCCATCACGGTAGTAAAACCTCTGTCCCTCTTGTTTCTAATTCTAGGCATTGTTGTTTTTGTTTTCTATTGTCGATCGGATCGATTTAGTTAATTAATTAGCTTCGTAATTATTCATTATCGTTGAGATTTGAGTTGGAATAAGTAACATTATTTCCTGCAGATGTTTTGGGTTCAAAAGGAAGATGCTTGCTCTGATTATTAGCCAAATTTTAGTGAACAATAAGTTGCACGTTTCAACATTCAGGGTCCGTTTGTTTCATTGAAAACAGATTGGTCATTCTGCTTGGTTTACTTGGGCTGTGCATTTATTAACTGTATGCAGTGTGCTGGGTGCTGAAAATTCCTTGTTCTTTTACATATAACGGTGTATTAAACCCGTTTGCGTATCGTGTACTTCCGGTATCTGCTTTTAGGTGGCTTGTTAATCATATGGTCGAACTTGGCTTCTCTAAGTCGTTGTCGGAGTGGATAGGCACCAATCTCAAGAAATCCGAGGGAGAAGAGACCTGGGCCTTTAATCTTGATGGTGCTGTTCAGATGTTTAAATCCTACAGGTAGTAATAACCAATGATTCCACATTGATGTCACTTGTTCTACTTTTACTTAGCCTAGATAATTTTCTTTGTTGACTTAGTGAATTATCAATGTGAAATTTTCTAGGGAGATGTCGTATTGGTCTTTGTTGGTGCACCCTCCGAAAGAACTCGAGACAGCGATTGTATGTGCGTAGAAAAGTGATCGGTGGGATGCGGATGTGATTTCTCGGCTTAAAAGACTTGCGAGTGGGGAAGGAGATGGATCTGCAGGGAAGATTTCAGTTCATGTTCTTCCCAATTCCTGCCACTGGGTTCATGTGGACAACCCGAAGGGCCTACTCGAGATCGTGACGCCCAAGCTGAAGTCTCTAATGTCTTAATGTGATTTTGAGAGGATTCGATACCAGGTTTGAACCTATTTTTGCTTTGGGATTCATATATTGTTCTTGGATTTGGTCCCAATGGTGTTGGGATGGCTTATGATGGGACAAATGTTTCACCCGTGAATTTTCTTACGATTGCAATAATCTCGTTCATGATCGTTAGCACTGATTGTATAATTTTAAATAAGTAATAAACACCTGTGTCGTGATATTAATCACTGTTTTATAAACGAATTCGCCTTCATGTGTGTAATCGCTGCAATAGGTGGTCATACTTCGAGGTTAACACGATCTCTCTACAAATTCGTACACTCAAAAATCGGAGTGATAAGTGGTGTAGAAAAAAATGAAGTGTTTTTGGAAGAATTCCAGCTAACAGAGAGAATATTGTAAAGCAGGAATATTTGCTTGGGATGATTTTCAAATGCCTCTCAGCCTCGGTATTTATAGGTAGACGGAACCAACAAACAATTAAACTCAAGCATCAACTATGCCTAAAATCCAACAATAAACAGCTGTAATCACAACTAATAAACAAACTGTTATAACAACAATCAAATTACAGTTGATTAAGCAAGTGAATGAACCAACAAAAACGTCCAGGTTCATGAGTTTAATATCAAGAATCAAATCGAGTCGGACGAGCGATGACGACATGCGTGTTCAAAGTCCTTGTCTATGGTCCTCAACAATAGGGTATTGCTTTATTGAGTCACCCAACTATTGAAAATTATAAAATGATCTGCTTTATTGAATCCATTGACTATTAAAAGTTACAAAATAGTCACCCGACTATTCATATGTTCCAAACTTGTCATTTTTAAGTAAAAAAATTGACGTTCATTTGAGCTGAATGTTAACTTGATGACTGAGATATGATAGTCGTTTGACATTATGATATCATATTTTAACATATCATAGTCATCATGTTAACATCTGACCAGACTAACGTCAAACTTTTAAAGGAAAATGATGAGTTTGGAACATATGAATAGTCAAGTGATCATTTTATAATTTTTAATAGTCGAGAGACTCAACAAAACGACGCCTTATGATAAAAGGATTATTTTGTAAATTTAATAATTAGGTAACCCAATAAAATAACAACATATAGTCGAGGGAATATTTGTGACTTTACCATGCAAAAATCAGACTCTAATAAATAATAAAGACAAGGTGTTTTTAGTCATTTAATGTTAGGGTTATAAAAACCTACCTATAAATTAGTCGCAGCCGATTCACCATCTTCCCCTCAAGCTTAGAGTCGTCAGAGGCCAAAATCATCATATTAAGCTCATTATTTCTCTCATCTAAGCCATGGTAAGTCTATTTACATTTTTGATTTATGGATTTTTTTTCCTTCTCGGTTGGAACTGTTTACTTTGCGCTACCTTTTCTTGTGTTTCTGTGCTTGGAAAACTGAATCAAAATATATTTACAAATTCGCAGTTCTTTGTTATGTACATGGAATCGAAAGCTTCAAATCGAGACCTTTTTCCAATCAGATTAGATTTAACCTTGCTTATTTTCGCCTTGGGGTTTTCCTTTTTAGGTTTATTGCCATAGCAGATTCTTAGATTTACATGGGTGCAAATAAGATAATTGATTTGTTCGTTGATTTTGTTGTATTTTCTAGTCAAGGAGAAAGGTTAGGGAGCCCAAGGAGGAGAATACTACCCTCGGACCTGCTGTTCGAGAGGGCGAGTTTGTTTTCGGAGTGGCTCACATTTTCGCTTCGTTTAATGACACATTTATCGTAAGTGATGACCTAAATTGATTACATTGTTCTTTTTCTGGTAGTTTATCATGCATAACATGCTATTATTTGATTTCCAGCATGTGACTGATTTGTCTGGAAGGGAAACGATGGTTCGCATCACCGGTATGCTTTATGATTATCATTAGAAAATGGGTTCTTTTGCTTTCGTCGGTTTTTCATGTCGAATGTTGATTTTTGTTGCAACGTGTGTTGATATTCATGTCTGAGGTTGGATTTTTTTCCCGTAAATATTATTTTTTGATCTTATATACTTTTGATTTTTCAAATGTAGGTGGTATGAAGGTGAAAGCCGATAGAGACGAGTCTTCCCCTTATGCTGCCATGCTTGCAGCCCAAGATGTTTCTCAACGCTGCAAGGTCTAATTGCTTACTCTTTGTCTCGAGGGTAGTAATGTTTTATGCATGGTGAACTTATATGCCTATATGTATTTGTTTTCTTGCAGGAGTTGGGTATTACTGCCCTTCATATAAAGCTAAGAGCAACCGGAGGGAACAAGACCAAGACGCCTGGTCCTGGTGCACAGTCTGCACTTAGAGCCCTTGCTCGTTCAGGCATGAAAATCGGACGGATAGGTACGGTTCATTTATTCTTTTGTTTCTGGAGTTTTCAATCGGTCCATTCATTTCAACTCTCATAAACCGACTTGAAACCTTTTTACCTCAGAGGATGTTACCCCTATTC